AGGAGTTAGCTCTCCCCCAAAGCAGTGCATGTCTAGTGGTGTGCAGAGGGTGGTTCCCTGTGCAGCAGCGCCTCTCTGCGCCTTTGTGTGTCTTATTTACGTTGTGCTGTCAGACTGGCTGCTCACACGTGTCCCACTGTCTCGCCTCTTTGTCCTGCATAACACTCTCACTGGCCTCACCAACAGCACCGATGACTTGACTGTATGTCGCGTTTGCCTTTTTCTATCTGTGCTTCTCCTGCAGCGGGGCTGCTCAGCCCTTTGATTGGATCCTTTTTCTGAAACGGAAGGCTTCCAACCTGAAAGAAAGAGAAACAGAGGCAGGGATGCTGCATCTCCTCGGCTTTTTTCCACGGGCTCCGGACGGACCGACTCGGTTTAGATGACGTGTATAGAGGGGTTCTCCTGGAGTTCATGATTCGTCCTGTTTTGGAAAAGATCCAACCCACCGGGAGATCCATGCTCCGGCTTTTGTGTCTCTGTGATCATGTCCCCAGCATCGGCTCCAGCTGCCAGTGAAGGCAGCACCACCTCGGTCCAAGAGGAGGCAGCGGACAGTCCCAGGGAGGAGGTATGGAGATGTTTTTATCACTTCACATCTGGAGCGATTTCCTTACCATATTAACGCTCATGCAGCATAATTAGAATAACCTGATTAAAGTGTGTAAATATATACAAGAAAATGAGACTGAAGTAACCTGTTAGGGATCCTGGACTGGATCCTAAAAGCCAGAGAAAGGTGTGAAATGAGGGGAACAAAGGAGAGCAACAACATAACTTGAATGAGACTCAAGAACCAGGAAACCCCACGATCTGATCTATGCATTACTGCACTAAAACACCCATTAATAAATAGTCTAATTTATGAATGCAGTTAAACTTGACATTGATTAATATGCTTTTTTTTTTTAAATATACAGTGTAATGTCTCATCCTTCTTGCAGACTGTTGGATAAGTTACACATCCATTACACAAGAGGGTTTTTATGTAACCTAGCTGCTCTTATTATGTCAAAAGAAAGTATCCCTGAATGTGTGACATTTATTTAAAGGCACATCATTTTTTTTCCCTCCAAAAGACCGTTTCACTGATTTAAAATGGGTGTATAAGTATTATATTGAACTATATGCTTTTGTAGAATGAGCACAAACACTATAAGCTACTGATATCGTCAAGAAAACCATAAATATATGAATTTTACTTTATGTATTTGGATACCTATTTGACTGATGGGGTAATATAGATGTATATTAATAAATATTGACCTAAAGGTATTATATTTTGGTGATTTAAAAAACGGATATTTGTCTAATTAATCAATTCAGTATATACAAAATAATATATTTAAAAAGTTTTTTAATTCTTCTGTTAATCTTGATCATTATGTCTAACAGATCGTAAAAATATTTCTTTGTAGAAAGAAAACTATGATTAAAGGGGAGACTATTCAGCAGAGATTCACTGACACCCTACACAGGAAGAGAAGCCACTAAAAGGTCCTTGCCAATGAAGTGGATTGTTTACTTTGAGCTGTTTCTAAGAAAAATAATGAAAACCTAAGTGGAGAGAAAAAGTGTGCATAATCAACAATCACACAGAGATACATATTCAGGGCATTTCTCATCGCCCTCTCATTCATTGTGTGGAATCCATTACTGATCCTGAAAAAAATGTCTGAAGCATTTTACCTCAGATGAAAGTACATTTCAAGATGGGGATCAGGGTATCAGTGTCTGGGGAGGCTGAACAAGATGGGTGGGGTTCAGCGGTAAGTTTCACAGTGAGTGAAGATTTAAGGACCTATCTCAGCTGCTGGTGTTGGTCCTCTGTGATTTTATCAAATCCAAATTAATGCAACTATCCATCAGTAAACTTTGGAACAGTTCACACTTCCCCTCGCTTAGAACAAAGATAGTGATTTGTCCATGATAATTGCATCTAAGGAGAAGGATAAAGGGTAATCATGAGGGCGGATATTTCTTTTTAAAAGTTTTAATTGGAGGCTGCATCAATCCCTTTAGCAATTTTAAGGCAGTTTAATGTCGTTAAAGGTATAGTGGAGGATTTTTTGTGAATTTTTGAAAAGACCTGCCCTGTCCAAAAAAAGTGCACATGCACAACCCTGTACCCTCTCCTGACAGGTAAAGCCTATTAAACGCGTGTGAGAGTGTGCACAAGCCCATTTCTACTTGTGCACATTCTGTTTAAAAGTTGCTGTTTGCATCGCTCATCCAATCTTACTTTCCAAAAGAAGATTTGCAATTTTTTTCACTATGTCAGACTCACCACCAGTAAGTAAAAATTGGGATGAGCAGATAGGAGAGCCTTACTTAAACATATCACTAGAATGATTGACAATTAGGAATACCAATTATTTTGATGATCCATCCAGGGAAAAAAAAAAAAAACATCCTCCACAATATCTTTTACTAAGTGCAAAGGCATCTCTTTGTCAACATAACAGAAATGTCCGCCTTACAGTGTTTATGATGCTGAGTCACTTCCTTTCTTTCTCTGCTATCAGCTCTAATGAACAGCTCCTCCATGTTTTCAGACAGTGGATTCATAGTTGGCATCTCATTTGTTGCTCAAAATGATTCTATTTTATATTCCTCTCACATCAGTGTTAATACATTTCACCTATCAAAGCATCTTCTTCTGCACACAGGTGCATTTATTTTTATATTTCTCACACATCTATTCATAGGGATCACAACCTTGCATAGAAATGTTATCTTTGCCATTTAAACATTAAATGTAACATGAGCCTAAAAGTACAGCATGTGGCGTTTATTATTTCCATTTAAGCAAAGGTAGGGTTCTGTTGAGTAAATAAGGAGCTGCCTTTTCTCAGTAGGGAGTTTCACTGTTTGTCCCCTGTGCTCCATGGGGTGTAGCCTTATAGGTTGGCAAGACACTTGAGGATCATGTGACCAAAGTAGGGAGGATAATTATGGATGAAAAAGAGTCATCTATTATTAATGTTTGTCTGTTAGTGAGGGCGCATAGAACCAGTGTGTTGGATTCATTATGAAACTGATGTATAAAACATGCTGAGGATAGTATAGTGAAGGAAAGCTATATTAACAAAGATATATCTTTTCTACTGGAGTATGTGGAAGAAACAACTCCCCACATCACAAAATAAGCATTTTTTAATTAAAATAAAATTAAACAATTATATTCATACCGATATAAAAGTTGTGCACAAACTTTATTAATATTAATATCATTGCTATAAATCTAGAAATTTGCATTGTTTTATTTAACTAAAAGCATGTTGGTTTGTCATACACAACATTTGAATGTATGGTAAATTCCCCCACTGACTGTTACAGTGGAGAACCTGGAATATCGTTGACCTATTTTTTCGCAAAGGCTGGTAGATTTCAAACTAATATGGATGATTTAAAACATGGAGATATTTTAAGGAAATATCTTATAGCATTTGAAAGAAACCTAAAAATATATTGCCACTGTGTTGCAGAATTATCCAGATAATGACCCAAAGCTAACAGCCAAATAAACCGAAAAAAGGGCTTTAAAGGGAAACCATTAACCTTCAGTCTAATCTTTTTTAGTCTTTAAACAGAAATCCCAAAACGAAACTTAGCCTGAGTTAATCGGCAGAAAACACTCAGAGTTGATTTGGGATAAAACAAATACGAAAGCTATGTGAAAAAGTACCTAATGCCTACTTTTGAAGCACAGTGGAGGAACCATCATGCTTCATACCTGTTTCTTTTGTTTCCATTGGGAACCCTCTTGGTATCTGTAGAAAATCTGGTGGACTCCACTAAATCGGTCACTACTATGCCTTTTAGCAGGATACTGATCCAAAAAATGTATTTAAATCAGTCTACAAAGAGTTAACTGATTAGAAACTAATGTTACAACCTCAATTCCTAGATCTATATCATGTACAAATCCTTTGAGATTAATAAAAGAAAGCACCTGATGATACACAGGGCAATGGACAATCTGGATAGTTTTTTTTCCAGGATAATGCAAAATGTTAACATAGTATAGGGGAGAAAACTAATAACATAGTCCTGTTGATACAAGGTGACGGTAGAGGGTAAAAATGGAATGTCATGATTTTTATTTTCACTGAGTATATGCACTAGAACTATTTTATGTGAAAAAAATATACAAAAAAGTTTCAGTATAATACAGTTTTTTCTGTTGCGCCTTTGTAGTCTAAAAGTGTCACAGGTGGTGTGTGCTGTTTCTCTAATATAAAATTGCCTGATTTTAATCAGTCCAACCATTATATTTTAAAATATGCTTGCATAGGACAATCTTGATGTTAAAATCTATGAAAAACAAAACAATAATATATTGGTCATACTGCTTTTTGTGGTCATTTTTATCATGGCCGAAAGACAAATCTTCACAATTTATTTGTTTTATTTATGGTCAGCCAAACTAGTTACCAGGATAGTCCTTACTTTAGACTTAAATTTACAGTTTTATGACTTGGTTTTCTCACATTATTATGATAATCATGAATAAAAAGGGTGTTTAAATCAGCAGCTTTATCATGATACGATGTTATATTGATAAAGCCTGTCACAATACTATTTTCAATTAGCTCAATTTAAAAGACAACTCCCTTTCTAACACGTATATTTACATTAGGGCTGAAACAATTAATCTGTCTAATCAATCATTGAAAGAATTCTTGACTAATTTAGTAATCGATTAATCATTAACTGGAGTATAGAGACTATAAAACATGCCTTTTGCTGACAGAGCAACCCTCCTAGAGCAGTAATTATACAGAGATTGTAAAAATATTTATTAACATTTTGCATTTAAGATAAAAAGAAAAATTCTTTTTCATCTGTCAATATGCTCTGTCCAGAACTCCTCAAGTGGAAAATTTTTATTTTCACCTGTTTTAATTTCTAAAAAGTGTTCTTTAAGAAAACTTTGGCTAGCCGATTATTTATCGATTATTGAAAAAAATAATCAACAGATTAAACAGTTAGCAAAATTATTGTTTGGTGCAGTCCAAATTTACATCATTATCCACTAAGAAAAAAATCCAACCTAAAAATGATTTGACCATTTTATTTGTAAGCGCTAACAATTGTCAGATTTTTTAAATCAAAAACAGCTTTTAGTTGTTTGCCTTCTTGCGTGAATTTAAAAATAAAAATGTATTTTAAAGATGATCTATGGAACTGGATTATATAATAATAATAATAATAATAATAATAATAATAATAATAATAAATCCAATTTGTACCGCACTTTTCATTAAGAAAAATCTCAAAGTGCTACACAAGTGATATCTTTTAATCAACGTCAATGTGAATTGATGTGTATTTGAGTCCATACTGTAAATATTTAAACCAACCATGATCTTTTTGCTTTTATTTTAAACAGAAAACAATTATTCATGCTGCAACTGACATAAAATAAGGATTATGACCATTTTTTATACATTGAATTAAGGCTGAAACAAGTAATCAGATTGATCATAATTAATCGGTTATTGAAATATCATCAACTATTTTAGTATAGAGATAGAAAAATATACTTTTAGCTGACTTTTTGTTTTAGCTGTCCTTTAGCTGTGCTTTTAGCGACCCACTTAGAGCAGCAATGATATCGAAATTGTGAAAAAATATATAAACATTTTGCATTTAAGACAAACAAAATATGTTTTTGTCTGGCAATATGCCCAATCCAAAAAAGTTTTAGTTTCAACTCGTTTAATTTAATAAAAAAAGCAGATTGGCTAACCGATTATTAATTGATTAAACGAAAAAATAATCGACTGATTAATTGATTTGCAACATAATCATTAGTTGCAGCGATTGTTTTAATTTATAGTAAGTTTGACACTGAGTAAAAAGCTTAGAAAAACACAGGGAGCTAATCAACAACTTCCCAATTGTATAAATAAGATAAATGATGGTTGGTATCCTCGTGGCATGATGTTACCTCTTATCAGCCAGCTGACCGGCAGTTTGCTGCAGCAAGTGAAGAATGGAAGGGGAGAATACCACAGTCATCCTAGCACTTTAATTAGGAATTAAAACTGTATGGTACGGCGTAAATCTAAGAGGTTCTGAAACTGTGTCTTAAAAAAAAAAAACCTTCTGTACAGATAACTACTTCATGCAAACTTCAATGACAACAACTGACTTTAAATTAAGAGAGGGAGGAGCTAAAACTGAGAAAAAATATCTCAGTTAGGAGTAGAACAAACAGAGGAAAGTGCTGTTCTCCATTCATGCACAGTCATGTGTGAACTGATAGAATTGACAAACAGATACTGATGAGATGATGGATATATTAGAGGCTATATCATTGGCATTAAGATTAAAACAGCTTATGAATCAGCGTATTATTACATGCTCAGTCCTAGACATCAGGCAGGTTGATACAGCTCACATGTAAACAGCTCATATATAAAATTTAAAAGCACTTTAGAAGCAGTTCTTTAATAAATATTTTATTTATATGAGCTACTACCTTCAGCTTTTTCTTTTCATATGTAATTCATGTCATAGTTCGATTGCAGTTTTATAATAAATGTTGTATTTGCTTTATTAGCTTATTATTACTGCTGACTTCCGTGTGTCCCTCTTTTCCTGCAGCAGCATCCCCACAAACAGTCTTTGACCAAGTCATTGTGCCAGGAGTCTCACTGGAAATGCCTGCTTCTGTCCCTGCTCATGTACGGATGCGTGGGGGTGATAGCCTGGTGCCAGGTGGCAAAGGTCACGCGTCTCTCCTTCGACAGAGCCTACAAGGGAAAGTCTATGATGTACCACGACAGTCCGTGCTCCAACGGCTACATCTACATCCCTCTGGCTTTCCTGGTCATGCTCTACGTGGTCTACCTGGTAGAGTGCTGGCACTGCCACGCCAGGAACGAGCTGCAGTATAAGGTGGACGTGGACAGCGTGGCGGAGCGCATACAGCGAATGCAGCAGGCCACGCCCTGCGTCTGGTGGAAGGCCATCAGCTACCACTATGTCAGGAGGACCCGGCAGGTGACCCGCTACCGAAACGGAGATGCGTACACCACCACGCAGGTTTATCATGAGAGAGTGAACACCCATGTCGCTGAGGCAGAGTTTGACTATGGTAACTGTGGGGTTAAGGACATCTCAAAGCACCTCCTAGGTTTGGAGGGATTCCCTATCAGCAGGCTGAGGTTCACTAAGTGCTTTAGCTTTGCCAACGTGGACTCAGAAAACACATATCTAACACAGCGGGCTCGCTTCTTTACAGAAAACGAGGGCCTAGATGACTACATGGAAGCCCGTGAGGGGATGCATTTGAAGAATGTTGACTTTAAGGAGCACATGATTGCCTTTTCTGACCCCACTCATCCTCCCTGGTACGCTTCCAACTCTGCTTTCTGGGTGGCTGCTGCTTTCACTCTGTCTTGGCCTCTGCGGGTGCTGATGGAGTACCGCACAGCCTGCGTGCACTACCATGTAGAAAAGCTGTTTGGTTTTGACTATGTGCCAGCAACGCCATCTGAAGAGCGTCCATATTGTCGACGTATCCCACGAGTCAACACTATTGACAGCACAGAGCTAGAGTGGCACATTCGCTCCAACCAGCAGCTGGTGCCCAGCTACTCGGAAGCAGTCCTGATGGATCTGGCCCAGCTTTCAGGGAGCGGCAACAGCTACTCTATATGCGGGCGCTATGGCAGCTACAGGCAGAATTGTGAACGTTGCCACCGCACCATCAGCAGCTCCTCCATCTTCTCCCGCAGCGCTCTGAGCATTTGCAACACAGCGAGCCCCCGCATCCCCTTCAGCGCCAGCCGCTTCTCTTTAGGGCGGCTGTACGGGTCCAGGCGGAGCTGCCTGTGGAGGAGCAGCGGGAGCCTGAATGAGCAATCCTGTCCCACTGAGAGCACTCGCTGTCTGTCAGGACAGCAGACCAGCGAGGAGAATCCTCCAGCCTATCAGGATGCCCTGTGCTTTCCTGTGCTCATCGTGCATCGCAACGAAGGATGCCTCAACCATGACCACCGCTCTCTGCACAGGAATGGCTCCTGTGTTGAGACATCTCTCTGACCAACAGCTGCCAAAAAGATGAAACAAACTAGGGCTGAAAGACCTCTTTACTCCTGGTTTGGAATGTTTCACAATTCTAATGTTGATTTAATGTGAGTTTTTCCTCTTTTATTCAAAATAGAAACACAGATTTCTACATAACACAAATTAATGCAGGAGTGTAAAGTGGAAGGAAAATGATTCCTCCATCATTTTATACCCCAAGGTTTCACGTGCAACACATAGTCACAGAGCATGAGACGCACTTAGGAAAAAAAAAATCATGGATATTCACACATAAAGATAATTTAGAGAAACCAGTTTACCTAACTTAAAGGTTTTCTATACTGTTTGAGGAAGCTCGAGTTGGAGGAAAGAAGCCAAGCATGCGTAGGGAGAACATTCAGATTGCAGGCAGACGCATGCAGATCCCAGCCTGGATTGAAATGCAACAGCGCTAGAAACTTGATCCCCATCATGTGTATGATTATTAGAGTTTTTTTTTGTTTTGTTTATTCAAATAGACATCAAAAATACTGTAGTTTGTATTTATTTTAACACCCTATATTCCAATACCTCAAAATAAATTCCAGAGGAACCTTGAAAGGTTGTGTTTGTAAAACAAATAGCATCACTGAAACCAAGAAAATCAGCAGGCAGGTTAGAAACAAAGCCGAGGAGAATTTAAAGCAGGTTTAGGCTTCAAAGAATATCCCAAGCTTTGAACATATTTTATAATCCAGGAAGTAATTTAGTCAGAGAGACTGCAAATCATGGCAAAACATAAAAAATAAAATAAAATGAAATAAAAAACGCCTTAAAGAGTAGCAAGAAAAAAACCTACACAAAGTCTTGCTTTCAGGTTGCCACAGGTCATGAAGGGGGTTGAGGCAGACAGCTGGATGAAGATGCTTCTCTCAGAAAAGACCAAAACTTTTTGGCCTACTTGAACCCTATGTTTGGCTGCACATTGCAAAACACTCTCCCCACAATGAAATGGTGGTGGTAGGGCAATGCAGTGTCAATGCTTTTCTTAAGCAGGTGCAGGAAAGCTGGTCAGAGCTGATGAAAAGATGAATGGCACTAAATACAAGTCAGTACTCGAAGAAAACCTGATTAAGGCTGCAGAGTATATAAGGATGAAATAACGGTTCAACTTCCAGCAGGGCAAGAATTAAAAACATACAAGACATGCACTGAAATGGATTAAAGCAAAGCACATGCATGTATTATAATGACTTAGTCAAAGTACGAACCTAAATCCAAATGAAAATCTGTCCATACACCAGGGGTGGGTAGTAATTAGATTCATTTACTCAGTTACATTTACTTGAGTAACAATTTGAACAAAAATGTACTTTTAGGAGTAGGTTTATGTGCCATACTTTTTACTTTTACTTGAGCAATATTCTTATAAAGTATCGCTACTCCTACTTGAGTAAAACCTCTGACTATGCTGTCTTCTGTGAGTAATTTGAACTATTTCAAAATCAGGCAAACACACAGTAAACTATAGATATTCAATTCAGTTTCAATTCAGTTTATTTATATAGTGACAATTCACAACACAAGTCATCTCAAGGCACTTAACAGTTCAACCAGATCATACAGTCAAATTGATACAAAGTTTTCTATCTAAGGAAAACCAGTTGGTTGCATCGACTCATTGACTCAAATGCAATCCTTCACACTAAGCATGCTTGTAGTGACAGTGGAGAGGAAAAACTCCCTTTTAACAGGAAGAAACCTCCAGCAGAACCAGGCTCAGTATCATATTAACAGTGTAAGTTCATTACTGTCCTAACATATATACAGTTCTCATTGTACGGATTAAAAAAAAAAGAATTTCTTTTGCAAAGATTTGTTCTTCTATATTCATGACATTTATTTTTATTCTTTAGACATCTGAGTCTTCAAAATGTCAGAACTAGCACATAAAGTCTGTTTGTCAGAATCATTTATAAACATTAAATCTGATGTTATTATTCAACTGGGATGTGAAAAGAATGCCATGTCTATAGTCGATAATGTCTATAGTTCAGCATGTAGAAAGGAGCATCTGGGGGACTGAATACTTTCCATAATTTGATTTCTAGAAAGATTGGAAAACCATACATCATTTTCCTTCCACTTCACAATTATGCACTAATTTGTCTTGGTCATTGAGATAAAATCTTGATATAAACACAGGGTGTGAACACTTTAAGTTCAATTAAATTGAATGACTGAATTGATTGGAATTGAATTTAATAAGAACAATAGTGTACTGATGCACAAGTAGGGCAACAAACACACTTAGCTTAGAATAGTCATGCACAATGACTGAGTCAAAGCTGAGCAAGACTCAGGAGTTTCTTATCATAAAAATGCCTCTGATGAGGTCATTAGTGAGGCCTATGTAGAAAGGCAAAAAAAGGCATGTAGAAGATTCAGATTAGAGCCATTCATTCAAAATCAGCACAGATAAAAACATTAAATGTCTGGTAGAGATAATGATCCAGTAAGCAGAAACCAGTGTGTGTGCAATGACATTATACTCCCCTCCTTGCCAAATATAGAACAGGAGGATGATAAATAATTTAGCAAGGAGTGGCTGAGGGACATAAGACTCCTAAACAGGATAATCATTTTAAACCATATCTTTTTTATTTCACATTTGGCTGCACTACCCAGGCTACCTCTGTGTTTAAGTGCCTAGCATCAACCATTTGCAAGAAATATCAGCTTTCCCAATCAGAACCATCTCATCTCAGCCTCTTCCTAATAAAACTACAGTGCAGCAGTCTGTACTATGTCATGGAGACATTGATTTTCTGATGTCATCCTGCTTGAAAATCGCCTCTTCCTATAAATCAGTTCAAACATTCTTTCTGATGTTTTCCATGAGGCCATAAATAGATCAAAAAGGACTTTCATCATAATGTAACACAGATATTGTCTTGCAAGCTCTGCATTGCTGCTGATGTATATCAGAGAGGCATCCAGAGTTTTTTTTTTTTTNCTTTCATCATAATGTAACACAGATATTGTCTTGCAAGCTCTGCATTGCTGCTGATGTATATCAGAGAGGCATCCAGAGTTTTTTTTTTTTTTTTTTTATCTGGCTCTAAAGACAGGTCTGGATTTAATACTGCTAGTTCCACATTCATTAAAATACACCCCCCCCCCCCAAAAAAAACAAAAAGCAAATAAACAGTACTTATCTTCACCATTCTCAATACTAGTGTTGATTAATAGAAATGCAAACTAATATGAAAATGAAACCATGAATGAGATCTGTTTCAAAATGTAAAATGTAAATAAAACATTGGTTTTAGCTTTAGTTTCACAACATCCTCCTCACTTTGTTGTACCCTTAGTAATCACGTGTAAAACACTTTAAATAATCTTTAATTTTTGTAGCATAACTTCATATTGAAAAAGAGAACCAGAGATAAAGTGCAGCCCCTTGGAGTAACCAAGTCTCTGTAACATCAGTCTATATGCCAACCAAGATATCAGGTAAAAGAGGATTTCTCTCCTACCATCACAAGCATAAAGACAAAGCAAGATTAGAGCTTAAGTGGATACTGGTCACAGACTGAGGCTTTGACTTGAAATCATCCAGAGGGATCTGTGGTGCATCACAAAGGAGGAAGCTAGATTAAATCTTGACTGTTTAAATGATCAAAAATGTATAGATAGCACCTATGCAATATCCCTAAACCTCAGGATAGTATGAGACAGCCATTTGGCTTTAAACATTCCTTCATTCTGATGTTAGTGTGCTGCTCGGTTCTTTTTGTATACTAGACTTGATATTTTCTTGTTCCAAGTTTAAAGAATTTAATAGATTCAGACATCCTTCAACTAACCCACATACAATATAATTTGAATTATACATTCTTTTTGATCAAATGTAATGGAATATATTTCTATTGGTTGATCATCTGCTAATAGTCAGCACGGCAACAACACAGAAATGTCAGACTGACCTCGGATGTTAACTCATTACTAGGTCCAAGTTCTGAGACAAATTGTTGCAGCATCTGTGTGTTAATCTGCTATGGTTACAATAAGATACATTTTTATCATCACATTTTTATATATTGCTTATGATAGAGGTCTTCAACAGGGGTCTGCGACCCCTAGGGGGTCCACAGAGGTACTGCAAGGGGGTCACGTAAGTTTTGGTTGATTAGACTTTTTTTTGTCATATTCCCCCATCAATTTTTTCCACTGATTGAAATGTCTATAAATACACATTAACATGAATCAACACATTGTAGTAAACAAATAAGTGGAGGCAGAAGATGTCTCTCAGTCATCAATGCACACATTTAGCGACACATAGGAATTGAAATACTTTCATTATATTACTTCATATGTAATAGAGTGGTTATAGGACCAGATTGATATAACACAATTTCATACAATATATATAGTTAGGGGGTCCCCGCTCCATCTCGCCATCAGTTTTGGGGTCCTTAGCCTGGAAAACGCTGAAGGGCTAAAAAAAATCAAGACTCAAAGGCATCAGCTGAACTAACGCTAAAGAAACAACCCAAGTTGATCGGTTTTACTTGGTTTGGTCATATCTCAGTTTCCTCAAACTTTAGAGATAATTTAGTTTTTATCAGTCTGAAATCATTACATCCTCACAGTTATAATCCGTCTGCAAACCTCACTGTGAAATTTCATCACACTCTTTTTTTCTTTTAACTAATAATATTCCAGAAGATTTGTTTTACTTGGGCAAGGTTAACATTCAACATGACCAAAAAAAAAATCTTGATATATAAACCTGTCTGAGAGGCCAGTAGCTTTCTTCTGTTAGAATAGAGGATTTTGTAATGCAATGCATTAAACCCTTTATCATGTCTGGTAGGTAGGTAGATTAGTAAAAAAAAAAAAAAAAAAAAAGCTTGTATGTGCTCTTTGACTCGAGAATGACTGGGACTCACCTTTTTGTATCCGTATAAATTTGTGTGTAGGGCAGGGAGGCTTTGTACTGTAAATAAGATAAAGTTAAGAGTGATGACTGTTCATGTAAATATTAGCTTTAGCTTAGTGTCTCTCACAGATAGAAACACTGAGGCCAAGACAGCAGGAAAATGTTTTGACCTTCAGATGTTTAATGGTGTATAAACTACTCTGATAAATGCATCACAGTTAAAATCAGCTAAAATCAACGTCACGCATATTTAAATTCATCTGAGCAGTTTTGGTTCCCTTTGGTTCCTTTCAGCACACAGGATCATATAGAGTGATGTCAAAATAATCGGTATTGCCTTTAAAAAACAGTATCGGATGTTCTCTATTTTAAACACATTTGTACAACACTTGAAAATGCTTCAAAAGATGAGGTATTGACTTCAACACATACAGCACAGTTGTTTCATATTAAAAACATGGAGGTTCTTTTTCTTAATTCTGTCTTTATGTTTTACAAGGTTAATGAAAACAGGATTTTTTATTACTGATTTTATATTTTAGGGACACAAATAGCACTAATTGCTTCCTTACTAGCTAATATTGTATGTTTAAAACATCTGTTGTGTATTTTAGTATCACCACAAAGCTGCCTTGATGTAACATGAGGACTTAATACCAAAAAAACTGTTTCAAACCGCATACAAAATTCAATAAAGGAAAATGATCACAAAAACTAGTGTTCTACTGTTATCTGTGGTTGCTCAATCTGTCTGCACTGCACATCTAATCTCTTCCTATTTCACATTCTTGTAAGGTTTTATGACTTTGCTTAACTATTTATCGTAATCTGGTTATTGTCCTGCTAGAAGGCGAACCATCCCCACTGTCTTCAGTCAAAAACAAGTCCTGGGTTGCTTTACTTTTCCCCTTTCCATCAACTCTTAGTAAAACCCTATATTAGGATGTTGGCACCATCATTATTTACTACAGAGATTAATTTTTTTGTATGTTTTCAGTCCACCTCGGTACTAATTCAAGGTGGATTAACATGTTTTAGTAGGTTTGCAGTTTTGACTTAGTTCTTTTCTTTTACGGATAAAGAGATTTCCTATTGGACTGTCAAAGAATCCTGCTTTAAACAACCGTTCACCCGATTTTATTATATATTTCTCTGCTTCACTATATTGGTTGTTTTTTAGTGCTTTCTAACAAAGCTCTTAGTCCTTTGACAAAGAGCTGCATCCATATTGAGATTAAATTATACACAGGTGCTCTGTCTCTCTTATGTATAAGGCTATCAGAAGCACTATATCAATGCATGGCCACCCATCAAGCGTTTTATTTGTTATATATATTGAGAATCATAACTTTTCTGCCACTTCACATTTATATGTTACTTGGTATTCTAGTAAAATACTTTAAAGGTTGAGACAAAATGTTGAAAAGTTTCAAGACATTTTTCTGTAACTTTTTTCCAGGGAATTCTGCCTCTTAATCTATTTCTCTAATAAAGAGAAAAAAATATATTTTACTGCATGCTTCTGTATAACACAATGCTTGTTCCTGATGCTGTGGTGATGGGGTATCCTCTGAAATGCTGTGGCTCCTGAGTATAAACGTCCTTGTATGGGGTGGTTGTAGACTCAGTAACTGACGATTGCAGGTTTATACTAAGTACTGATGGAGTTTCCTGCTCTCCCTTGCTGAGCTTGCTTGTCCCACTCTGCACTCTGATTGGCCCACACCGACTGGTTAATGGAGGCAGCACTCTGCTCATCAACGTCTGTCTGGCGGATATCGCATTCTGTTAGAGTGCTGTTGTAAGACATCGCCTCTGCCAAAGCTTTACCTCCAGCCTGCACAAACACACAAAAATAATGGGAGTGAAGCGACAAAGTAACACAGTGTTTGGTACGTCCTTATGAAAAATCCCAATTGCTAGCTCACAATTTTTGCTGTCATTGTTTTTTTTATTTTTATATATACACTGATTTCTGTTCTTACAAAGACTGAATTGAGGTCAGAGATACCTGTGGTATTAAATTTCTGCTGTCTGAGTTACTTTCTAATCCTCCAGTATTCCAGACAGAGACACAGCATACCGTGAAATCTTGGAAAGAAGAGATCATGAGAAAGATGAAAAGTAAGATATACCTCTCATGGGAAAATACTTAAGTCTGCTCTCCATCCCTGCAAACATCCCTATGAATAATTGAAAAATCCTAGGACTTCACGGCCGTCCTGGTTACTTGCTGCAGACACGTATGTGCAGACGGACCCAATGCGGGAAAACTACTTCTCACCTTTTGATGGCTTAATGAAAGTTTTTAATGATAAATTAAACTTAAATTTTCACATTTGGAGCAACATTATTGGTTGAATGTAACGAAGCAAAAATATGGAAATTCAATCCAAGCCTGAACAGAGTAGAAATAGCAGAAAGATCCTAGTGTTAAGAATTTCAAAATGTGTAAAAAAATTAATTTAAAAAAGCCAAAAATATATTCGAACTCAGCAAAAAAAAAAAAAAATCATAAAAAATGTGTAGGATGTGTTCCATAGAACTTACACGTCTCCTGAACATCTATCAGGTATTAATTAAGTAGTACATCAAACAAAGATAAACACACATTTTCCTGCCTATGAGGACCCTGAACATATTTTTGGTGTATTTCAGACTTTCCTACTACATTCTGCCTAATCTAGTATCATAGTGTTTATCTGCTGCAGCTCCATAACAAATAATAGAATAGAAAAAAAGAAAATTCCCTTTATTGTCCCACAATGGGGAAATTCTAGTGCTGTGTTAACAGACTTTAAAACTCATTGAGAAAGGAGCACAATAATAGCTGTGAAGAGAGGAGCAGTCATCATGCCATGTCCTAACTTACCTCTCCGAGCTTGTTGCAGGTCAGGTTGATGCTCTTCAGAGTTGTATTCTTCTGCAGCACTTTGGACAATTCAACTGCAGTTAACCAGGTCATCTCATTGCCTCCTAGGTGTAAGTTCCTCAGGGTCCTGTTGTTCTCTAAGGCCTTGGCGATGTCCTGGCCCCCTTGATCTGTCACCACGTTCAGACACAGGTTAAGGGACGAAAGAGTGCAGTTGTTTGACATACCCTGAGCTATCGCTTTGGCTCCTAGGTCGCCGATTTTGTTGTTGCACAAGTTGAGTTTCTCCAGTTTGCTTCTGGTGAGTAGCTCGCTGACAGCTGTGGCCCCACCGTCTCCAATCACGTTGTGAGCTAAGTCGAGCTCTCTCAGGGAGGAGTGGTCCCGAAGGGCTCTCACCAGCAGGCAACACTTTTTGGCCTCAACCTGGCTTTGACGAAGCCTCAGACGCTGTAGTCACATACCAGATATGTTAGAAACAACAGTATCAACAACTTCAAGTATACACTTGTGAATACTTTATTAAAAACAAATGGGAATAAATATGGAAAACAGACCTTTTACTGGACAGCAGGAAATATCATAAAATATTTTCATTTAAGATGTGATACTTTCAGACTCAGCCAGACGTTAGCTTTCTGTTCCAGCAAATTAGAGACATTTGACCATATAAAGCTGTATAGATAGCAGTGTTCAGTGAAATGGTGGCATAGGTTTCTTCTTTTTTTTTCACGGATGTTTCCGATTTTAAATCTAATTTAATGTTAGATATAGATAACCTGAATAAAAGCATATTGCTATTTTTTAAATAATTGCTCAAACTGATTTAGAGGGAAAGATAAATAGCTTTGTAACTTTTTACAGACTAATGAATGACTTTCATTATTTGATGCTACAGGTCTTGCAGTAATCTGACCAGGGTGATAAATAGATGACAGGTCAATTCTGTGCAGAAAAAAACAGTTTAAAAAATCTAAAACAAGTATGATTTATAAAAGGAAAAAAGACAAATATCCTTCCTTAAAGTAAATGAAATTAGGAAGATTACAACTTCTATTCTGTGAAACATGCAGCATTATAAATTAAATGACATAAATGCTTACCTTCAGAGTTTTACTGAACTTTAGAGCCATGCCCAGGGATCTACAGTCTCTGTCAGTTATTTCAAACATTGACCATTCAAAGTTCAATCCACATTGTTTGATTCTGTACTGCAAGCGGAGATCTTCCAGGTTTATCAGCTGATCTAAGACAGGGCCAAAGTCAAAGTGGTCCATAGAGGCCTCATGTTCCTCAATGTTAATATCCAAGCCTGATTCTAACTGCTTATCCATCTTCCCCTTTGGAGGCTTCTTAACAGGCAGCAGCAGCTGTGAGATGTTTAACCTCCTGACATGACTTTTACAAAAAGGGAGTATGCTGAGAACCGTCTTCAGCTCTGTTACACCTGGGATGAAAAGTTCGATCATGTTCTCCAAGTGCCTTTCGAAGAACATCCGTTTCCAGCTGCCGCCATAATCCAAGACATCACAGATGTCCCACCTCTGCTCGCAGCACCGCTTCCAGTAAACGCCATCAGGGATCACGTCGGCAGTCACATGCAGAGGCAGCGAAGGAGACAGCCTCTCCTGAACGAAATCTTTCTGCTTGGGTGTGAGTTGTTCAAATATTTGCGTTTCTGTAACAAGCAGAAATTTCATTAATTTTATTTATTAAAAGATGCACAAGAAGCAACACAACAATAAACCATTGAATCGTGGAACTGGTCTGTTTGGTTTAGGGTTCAGTGATATTACAGCTTTTTTTTTTTACCCCAGGATTTTCCTCTAATTTAGCTTTGCCAAACTCTCCGTTCATTTTGACAAACCTCCCTTTTTCTTAAAAAGATAAATAATCTCTACAGCATGATGCTACCAGCATGTTTGCAAACATATGCAATATGTCCCCTACATGGCTTGTTGGTTAGTTTGAACAGGACTGCCTTTAAAAAACTAAGAATAAAAAAAAAATAAGCCTCACCATTTCCATTTTATTTTTTCTCTCAGTTCAAATGTAAGAATAACATTTTATTTTCTTGTATAATGTCGACAAGTGTAAATTAGATAATACATTTGAGAAAATTGTTTAGTAGAACTCTTTCAAACACTATAAGATGCTAAATACATACCGCCAAAGGTGTTTATAATGGTCTCCAGACACCTGATGGATAATCTGGGAACCAACTCCAGGGACCAGTTTGGATCCTCAGCAAAGATTCTTCTCATGGTTCTATGGTTATCCAATAAATGGATTCTGGATGACGATATGATGACTTAAGAAGGTATCCTGTAATTTTAAAAAAACTATTAAAATAATGCAGAATTATGACAACATTACAGCCTGTAGATTCTCTAACAACTCTGGACATAAGAATATTATATATAAATATTAGCATACTGAGACATTAAATTAAATAAGAAAAATATATTCTGCAACGAAAAAAAAAAAAAAAGGAAATGATTATGTTTTCATCCAAAAGGGCTTAAATTTCATGCTGTTCATATAACATTAGATGTGATAGAAAAAGGGACACGTGTCAGCATCCCCCTCCTTGGACATCTTATGCAAAACATTGTAACTCATGTGCAATATTCTTCTCTCTCACTGTTCAATAACACATGTCAACTACTTGGTAGCCTGTGTTATTTTTTACTTATTTATAAGGTCGGTACATCTGCATTAAAAGTGCAATAACCCAAGTCAACTATTGTGTAGTCTTCCCTTAGCTCTCTACTGTGCGGATATTTTTATATCTAAGGGAAACATATTACACGACATTACAACTTTTTCCTTTTTTATGCTTTTTTGTTCTATATACACTTTTTTTATATTGTCGGTTGATTGGTTTTTGTCTTTAATGGCATCTTTGTACTCTATATAAGTTACTGGAACCAGAATATGCCTGAATGAGTAATCCCCAGGGACAAATAAAATTGAGTCTAAGTCTAAGTCTCTAAGTCTATATGGAATTAACATTGAAATTCAGCATTTTGTAGGAGGTTTGTTCTGTTTGAACCACGAAGAGTCGATTCCTTGTGCTCAAGAACAATCTGGCTTGAACAGAGGCTTGAACAGTGAGGTGAGATCAAAAGAACTGTCTAATGGGACTGCGTGTGTTCCCAGCCCCTAAGTGACCCCTCACACCCCCACCATGGACTGTTCTCCCTGCTGCCCTCTGGGAAGAGGCTTTGCAGTATCTGATACAGGTCCAGCATATTCTGCAACAGCTTTTCTCCACTGAAAAAAAAAAGTTAACTGATTTTTAAATTTTATTTCAGTTTAATATGGAAAAAAGTCTGAATTCTGAGATTAAAGTCAGAATTCTGAGAATAAAGTCAGAATTCTGAGATTAAAGTCAGAATTCTGAGATTAAAGTCAGAATTCTGAGAATAAAGTCAGAATTCTGAGATTAAAGTCAGAATTCTAAAAAAAAAAAGTCAGAATTCTGAGAAAAAAGACAGAATTCTGACTTTTTTTCCTATGTTAAACTGAAATAAAATTAAAAAAGTCAGTTAACATTTTTTTTTTCCAGTGGCCCTAACCCTCTTCCGTAGGCATCAGAATGCTGAACTGTTGAAAAAAATCTTAAATCAAGTCACTGACTGTGCATCACACTGACAACACTTAACCAAATACTACATTTTTGCACCATATATATCTGTCTTGAAATGCTCTGAACCTCCATATCAATGCATTTTTTCACCATGTTTTTTTCTCCCACACAGTTTACGTTTGATCACTACTGCACTTTATGAAATGGAAATGTTCATTTTACTGCTAAGCTGTTGCTCATTCACTGTCTGAAAGCTGTGCAAAACGAAATTTCATTTTCTATGCACTCTGTGTATAAAAAATGACAATAAAAGTTGTCTAAATCTTAGTCCTCCAGAAAGATTTCTCGAGTGTGGTCTGATGTTTATAGAAGTCACGAAAGAATTTGGAATCTGCCACTCGACTGGCCAAAGTCGTCAGTAATTTAAAGACATTTAAATCAACTACATAAATGCACACCCCTGAAAACTAAAAGATACTAAAAGAAGGTCTAAAAAGAAAGAAAAAAAAAGAGATACCATGTGAAAAAAAAAAGATTTTGGCCTTGAAACATAGGACTAGTAGACATTCAACTATGTTTTTCTCAAAAAGAAAACATGAAGGTCACACTTAATTTTGTTAAAACATGTATGTATACATAGAGCAACGGTGCTGCAAATACGTTTAGGCATCTGAATAGAAGATAAGCTTGGTTTCAGCATTCAAAGAAAATACCCTCAATGCACAGAGCTGGAGGTGTCATGATCTGGGGATTTGGGGGACAGCTCCTCATAGTGAGGAGTGGGACAAACCTTCCTCCTTCCTTCTAACTTTTTTCCCCCAGTTATAATCATGATTTTATTTACACCTTAGATGATGGATTCAATTCAATTTAGCTTATTTATATAGCGCCAAAACACGAGTCATCTCAAGGCACTTTACAGTTCAACCAGATCATGCAGTCAAATTGATTCAAAGTTTTCTATCTAAGGAAAACCAGTTGATTGCATTGACTCATTGACTCAAATGCAATTCCTCACACTAG